CCCTGAACCCTGAACCCTGAACCCTAAACCCTAAACCCTACCTAAACCTCCCATCCTGAAGGCGCAAGGCAGAGGTGCCGCCACCCCCACCAGAGCCAGAGCTGGCAAGCACGTCTGAGGCATCCAGGGGTCTTCTTGGGGGGGGGTTTAGGGTTTAGGGTTTGGGGTTTGGGGTTTAGGGTTTAGGGTTTAGGCTGTCTTCAGAGTGAGCAGCGGGTTCAGGACTGGTTTGCCCACCCCTACCACCCGGAGTTCAAGATGATACAGATACGGTTGTTCACACAGTCCAAAAACCCATGGTAGTGCATATCATCTACACAGCAAGACAAAAATCAGCAGTGAGAAGTGAGAAGCATGATGCATGTGCAGAGGTTGCTGATCATCATCAGCAGGTGATGATGATGATGATGATGATGATGATGATGATGATGATGATGATGGTGGAGGACAAGGGGCTTGTGCGACCTGTGCAACCTGGAGCACATCCCCGACTTGCACTGCCACGGGCAAGGGCGCCAGACGCACTTGCTTATGCAGCTGGCGGAGCCGGAGGCGGAGCTTGCCCTGGACCGCATCAAGGAGATGGCCAGCGACAGCATCGCCACAGACCTGCGCGCTCGCATGCGACGCGCACGGCAGAGGAAGAGCACCGAGCGTCCTCGCCGCGGACCGCGGGGGCCTTACAAGAAGCCAGCGTCCCCCCCCAGCGGACGAGCATGCAGCGGCTGGCAAGTCCGAGGAGCCCGTGCACGCGGCCGCCGACGCGCCTCGCGTGGAGCGCTGCGCCCCCGCAGCACGCAGCGAGCAAGCAGCATCCAGGAGCACAACGAGAAAGCGGCGGCTCCTCGCCGCAGAGCTTTGCGGCCACTGCACAACGATGCGAGCCGACAAGCGGGGCATCGGCCTGGGGAAGGACCAGAAGGTGCCCGGCAAGATCCAGTCGATGCTGAAGGACAGTTTCGAGGAAGTGGACGAGGGTCAGTTGCTCACCATCAGAGGAGAGCAGTTCAAGAAATGCTGCCTGGCCTTGTCAGTGGCACGCGCTCTCGGAGGCCTGGACGCGCCCAGGACAGACGTCCAGAAGCGAGCGGAGAGTTGGATCATGGGTCTGCCCGAGTACCTGCAGAGTGGAGTGGCCAAAAACGAGGCGACGGCTGGCGAGATGCTGTTCGAGCACTATCTGAACAAGGTCGTCCAGGAGGACGAAACCGTGATGGTCTGCCTCGTGCTCATGAATGCCAACGTCACTCGTGTGTGGGCAGGCGTGAAGGCCGCCTTGGCCAGCTGCAACGTGCTCTACTTGAAGTACGCGTCCGGCCGCTTCACCTCTCTCCTGGCGAAGGATGCCGGTACCTCCACCGAGACGCTCCTCAAGGCTCTGCCACCGTTGCAGTGTTTTTCCTTCATCGGCAGCTCCGACCTGAAGCATGAGATGTGCAAAGCACAGAATCAGCAGGCATGAAAGCCAGACATGCGTTTCCTTGAGCAGATGCGTCATGTAGCAGAGACACAGTCGCCAGGCTTCCGATGGCAGCCAGTCGGAGCATGTCGAGCAGAAACCAAACGTGGCGCAGCTGACACTGTGCCTTCCGCAGAAAAACGGCTTGCAGATCCGTGCTGGCACTTGTTATTTGTGGAGAGAACCCCCGACGTGTCTTATGTGTGGGACACATCGCTTCTGATGTATGTGTGGGGGACAGATTTTGACTGACATTTGTTATGCATGTCTTCGATATATAGGTCAGATCTTGTCATATCATTTGTTAGCTGTGCCTGACATTTGTGATCGCTGGGACAGTTGGTGCCTGACAATCGGTAGCTGTGGGACTAAGGCGGGCATGGCTCCCAAAGAAAGAGTTCCTGAACGACTGTGCCCGCATGACGCCTGTTTTGAGGCCCCCCAAGCCCCTCCAGGACTCAAGACCTGTACTCGACGCTCCTCAAACCCCCGAAAAGACTAAGAGACTCAGGAAGGTCCCAAAGAATAAGGCGTGAGGGTGTCGGTAGAGGCAAGGGCGGGGGCACTTCCGTACCAGGAGGGTCCCCAGGGGTCCGGGTTTTTGGTGGTTTGACCCTTTTTTGGTTTTGGGCTTACGCCCTAACTCTGAGGCGTAGCCAGCCACTGCAGGCCCTGTCTACCGGTAGGCTTTACCCTCCCTCACCGTTCTGTGGAGACGCTCGGTCGAGGACCTCGGTCGAAGCCTCGAGCGCCCATGTAAATGGACAGCGGCGCTCTCCGCAGTTTAGGGTTTAGGGTTTAGGGTTTAGGGTTTAGGGTTTAGGGTTTAGGGTTTAGGGTTTAGGGTTTAGGGTTTAGGGTTTAGGGTTTAGGGTTTAGGGTTTAGGGTTTGGGACTTAGGGTTTAGGGCCTTTTGCGCTGTGTAGGGTTTAGGGTTTAGGGTTTAGGGCTTTGGGATGTTTAGGGTTTAGGTAGGGTTTAGGGTTGAGGGTTTAAGGGGACGTTATTGTTATGACGATCAGTATCTTTGTCTTGACCGCATGTTTTTTTTATATACATGATGATTATCCTCATCATCGTCGTCGTCGTCATCATCATCATCATCATCATCAGTTTCAGGCTTTCCTTTCTTGGCTTTATCCCCAGTCTCGGGGTGTGCTTTGGGATTTCAGAGGGGGGAGAGTGTGGGGTTTCGGGATTAGGATTCAAGGTTTAGGGCTTGGGTACTTGAGGAGTATGTATTTTCTGAGTGGTCGGATATATTATTCAGGCTTTAGGTTTGGGGGCTTGGCATAATCAGCGCATCGTTGCACTTCGTGTCTGGGGACACAGCCAAGGTCGCACTGGAGTTTGGGTTTGAGAGGTTACTGTAACACTCCGAATCGCGCAATGCTAAGCCTCATCGCCGCTCGCTTTCTGCTTCGCTCCCGGTCGCACGTAGCAGCATCCAGCAAAACATGATTTCGCCCTTCGTCATGCTGCTTCTTTCTTACTGTTTGCGTAAGAACACACAAGATAACCAGCATGTGTGCGCATATATTGCCCATGTACGGAGGATGTGTTCTTTGGGTAGCTGCTTCAGCGAGTAGTAGCTGCGCGCGAAGCAACGGCCCTGCCATCCTAGGCTCTCTACTCCACATCTCACATCACTGGTTCCCCTGCTTGGACATTCATGGTACTCATTACCAAATTACAACTGCACTGATAAGAGTACTTATAACCAGATTGGGGCACTTAAGGGGCTTCTAAGTCGGTTCTAAGTACAGTTATATGTGGTTAATAAGAACCCCCGACTACCCCCCTCTATACTACCCCCCCCCCCCCTACGGTTCCACCAATAATTCAGGCTAGTTAGGGAAAATTGAGCCGAATGGGGGTAGTAGGGGAACCCATGCTCGAAGCGCAGCAGACACCACTTTCGGCCATTGCAGGAACCACTGCGCCCTCATGGCATCCCTATAGTCCCCTAAGACCGCACCCCAAACCCTGAACCCTGAACCCTGAACCCTAAACCCTAAACCCTGAACCTTAAACCCTAAACCCTTGACCCTTGACCCTTGACGCGACCGCGCTCTCTACACCGCCCTCCTTCCGAGGCACCTCCCGGGCCGCCAGGACCACCAAGTCCTGAAAAGATGCAGGGCGTGGCCTGAAAAGGTCTTACCTTGGGGACTAACTGAACCCTAAAAAGGGTTTAGGCTTTCGGGTCTAGGGTTGAGGGTTTAAGGTTTAGTGTTTCAGTTTAGGGTTTGGGGGCTAACTGAACCCTGAAAAAGGGTTTAAGTAGGATATTCCCTTCCTTCATAATAAACTGAACCCTAAAACAAGGGGTTATAGTAGTATAGGTTACGCCCGAAAGGGTTTCATTTTAGGGTTTGAGGACTAACTGAACCCTACGAAAAGGATTGAATTAGGGTTTTGGGATATTCCTTACTAGGCATTATAGTAGTCATAGGTTACCCTTAAAGGGTCTAGGGATATGCCTTAATAGGGGTGCTAGTAAAAACGGGGTTGAATCTACCTTCAAACAGGGGCGATCGTAGCGCAGCTTCTACGATCCCAGCTTTCGGGGTTCATTAAAGGCCCCCAAGGTCGGCACCGCAGGTCCCCCAGGCGTTAGAGCTCTTTCTTTGCTCGTGATCCTTGCTTTCCTACTACTTGTTCAACCCTAAACCCGAAACCCTATACCCTAAAAATGTAAAGTAATCATTCCTATATTGCCCTTATAAGGAAGATCTGTTTCATTTTTTTTTTTTGGGGGGGGGTGGGTAAGATGGACACTTAAAGGCTATGCTGCACGTGCGTGCCTTGTAAACAACTACTTTACAAAGGAAACGCCCGCAGAGTAGACGCAACGCACCCGCAGGATAGACGCAAGCACCCTGTCAGCGCACTGTGTCCTGGGCGGGGGCGCGGAGGGCGCGGAGGGCGCGGAGGGCGCGGAGGGGAGGGCGGAGGGGAGGGCAGAGGGGAGGGCGGAGGGCGCGGAGGGCGCGAAGGGCGCGGAGGGCGCGGAGGGCGCGGAGGGCGCGGAGGGCGCGGAAAGGCGCGGAGGGCGCAGAGGGCGGGAGCGCGCGAGAACGCGCGGAGCGCGCGGAGGCCGCGGAGGCCGCGGAGCGCGCGGAGGCCGCGGAGGGCGCGGAGGGCGCGGAGGGGAGGGCGCGGAGGGGAGGGCGGAGGGGAGGGCGCGGGAGCGCGCGGAGGGCGGGAGGGCACGGAGGGCGCGGAGCGTGCAGAGGGCGGAAAGGCGCGGAGGGCGCGCGGCATCTATGTGTCCCCATATCCCCTGCCATCAACCAATGTCACTCTCCCCTTCCGCGCCGAACCCGTCCGTCAACCTCCATGCATGGTCCACGCCTCCCCACATCTCCAGCAAAATGTTCCGAACCCCCTTTCTGTCCGACCCTCCAAGGAGCGATCCGATAGAACGCCTTCCGCATTGAAGCGCCAAACGAGAACCCAATTTCAGAATTGGTTTTCGGGGAAAAATCCCTGAGCATCGAATATTGATTCCGATCAATACGGTGAAAAACCAGATTGATTTGGCTCTAAAATCAATCTGGCTGGATTGATTTTGGACAAATTCCGAATCAATATTATTATTTTTACATCGCAAAAATATCCATAAAATCAATATAGCACAGACAGCAAAATCAATATAAACAATCAACATGGGCAGCTACCAGACGAAGCTTTTTCCCCTTGGCCCTACACCCTTTGCAAACCCTGAGGCCTAAACCCGTAAATTCCGGACCCTACCCTAAGCCCTTAACCCTTTGCAAAATCCCAAGCCCTCAACAATTAAACCCCGGACCCTACCCTAAACCCTAAACCCTTGCAAGCCTCAAGCCCTAGACACCTAAACCCGGGACCCGGCCCTACCCTAAACCCGAAACCCTTTACAAACCCTAAGGCCTAAACCCTGGGAGCCCTAAACCCTTTGCAAACCCCAAGGCCTAAACCCTTAGACCCCGGATCCTACCCTAAGCCCTTAACCCTTCGCAAACCCTAAACACTTAAACCCCGGACCCTACCCTAAACCCTTTGCAAACTCAAAACCCTAAACGCTTCAACTTCGGACCCTACCCTAAACCCTAAACCCTTTGCATCATACCCCAAGCACACTTAGACCCCGGACTCCACAGTAAACACTAAAACCCCGGACCCTACCCTAAATCCTAAACCCTTTGCAAACCCCAAACTTAAACCCCGGACCCTATACCCTAAACCTTAAATTCTTTGCAAACCCCAAGCCCTAAACACTTAAACCCCGGACCCTACCCTAAAACCCTAAACCCTTTGCAAACCCCAAGCCGTAAACCCTTAAAGACCGGACCCTACCCTATAAACCCTTTGCAAACCTAAAGGCCTAAGCGCTTTAGAGCCTTTTGCAAGTGAAGCCTTGCAAAGCTCTAAATTCGCGATTATATATATATATACATATATTATTTTAGATAGGAAATAAATTAAGAAGTAAATTAATCACGAACTAATGAACGAATATACATATATATATATATAATATTATGCAAAAACTCCCCCCCCCCTCCCCCTCCACCATCCCCTCTCCCCCCCATCCCAGTCTCAGCCTTTCACGTTTTTTGGTACTCTCCCCCAACCCGCCCCGTCCCCCTCCCCCCGCTCCGTGTTTTTATATACGAAATCAACGTATCTCCTCCCCCCATCCCCCTGCCCCCGTTTCGTGTTTTATTTACGAATTTGAAATAAATGTAAAATCAAAATGCACCCTCCCCGGCCCACCCACCCCCCCCCCCCTCCCCGACTGCGCTTTCGTTTCCTCACGAGTCTCCCTCACCCTCCTCCTGTTTCCCTCCCCCCGTCACTGCATTTTTTCAATTTATCTCTTTAACCGTGTCCCAATCTACTTTTTCATTTTTTGGAAATCTGTGCTTATTCATTCTTTCATTTTTTTTTAAGAAAATGATGAAACATCAGAAATATGCTGAAAAATGATGAAAACTTGGTTTTTTCATAATATTTCA